CGCGTGACTGACTGCACGTGAGTGTGCGCGTGACTGACTGCATGTGTGTGTGCGCGTGGCTGTGTGCCTGCACGTGTGTGTGCGCATGACTGCACGTGTGTGTGTGTGTGACTGTGCGCGTGACTGTGCCTGCACGTGTGTGTGTGCGCGTGACTGACTGCACGTGAGTGTGCGCGTGACTGACTGCACGTGTGTGTGTGACTGTGTGCCTGCACGTGTGTGCGCGTGACTGTGTGCCTGCACGTGTGTGTGCATGACTGTGTGCCTGCACGTGTGTGTGCATGACTGTGTGCCTGCACGTGTGTGTGACTGTGTGCCTGCACGTGTGTGCACGTGACTGTGCCTGCGTGTGTGTGCGTGACTGCCTGCACGTGTGTGCGCGACTGTGTGCCTGTGTGTGTGTGTGCGTGACTGTGCCTGCACGTGTGTGTGCGCGTGACTGTGTGCCTGCACGTGTGTGTGCGTGACTGTGTGCCTGCGTGTGTGTGTGTGCGTGACTGTGCCTGCACGTGAGTGCGCGTGACTGTGTGCCTGCACGTGTGTGTGTGCGTGACTGTGTGCCTGCGTGTGTGTGTGTGCGTGACTGTGCCTGCACGTGTGTGCGCGTGACTGTGTGCCTGCGTGTGTGTGTGCGTGTGACTGACGGCACGTGTGTGTGCGTGTGACTGTGTGCCTGCACGTGTGTGCGTGTGACTGACAGCACGTGTGTGTGTGCGTGTGACTGTGTGCCTGCACATGTGTGCGTGTGACTGACAGCACGTGTGTGTGTGCGTGGCTGACTGCACGTGTGTGCATGTGACTGCACGTGTGTGTGCGTGACTGTGCGTGGCTGACTGTGAGCGTGTGAGTGACTGTGTGTGAGTGTGTGAGCGTGTGAGCGTGACTGAGTGTGGCTGTGTGTGTGAGCGTGTGTGAGTGACTGAGCGTGACTGAGCGTGGCTGCCTGTGTGTGAGCATGTGTGTGACTGTGAGTGTGGCTGACTGTGTGTGTGAGTGTGTGTGAGCGTGGCTGCCTGTGTGTGACTATGAGCATGACTGTGAGCGTGACTGTGTGTGACTGTGTGTGTGAGCGTGTGTGAGCATGGCTGACTGTGTGTGAGCGTGTGTGAGCGTGGCTGCCTGTGTGTGTGACTGTGAGCGTGACTGTGACTGTGGCTGGCTGTGTGTGTGACTGTGGCTGGCTGTGTGTGCGAGCGTGTGTGAGCATGGCTGACTGTGTGAGCGTGTGTGAGCGTGACTGTGGCTGCCTGTGTGTGTGACTGTGTGTGAGCGTGTGTGAGCATGGCTGACTGTGAGCGTGTGTGAGCGTGGCTGACTGTGTGTGAGCGTGTGTGAGCGTGACTGTGGCTGACTGTGTGTGTGAGCGTGTGTGAGTGACTGAGCGTGACTGTGTGAGCGTGGCTGCCTCTGTGTGTGTGTAGGAGAAAGAGACACAAGTGTGCTGTTTTCCAAATTACAGGCTCTTGTAGCTAAAGGATCAGACACTAGCATATCCACAAGGAGGGAACCTTCTGGAACAGCTGGGGGCTTCTCGGTGTGTGTGTGTGTGTGGCGTGCTGGTGGCTCTCCTGGGGACAATGCTGGCCGGGCCGGTGGGTCACCCAGTGGCTTCCGGGGACGCTGGGGGAGGTGCACACACCAGGCAGCCATTGTCCCAGCCTCAGCGCAGGGACTTGGCGGCCGGTGGCCATGTCCTCACGCGTGTCTCTCTGTGAGGGCTTGGGAGCCGCCCAAGCGCTAAAGTAGGGATTCTGACTCCAAGGCGGGCACGTGGGCGGGCGGGCACGCGGGCACGCGGGCGGGGACGCGGGCGGGCGGGCGGGCGGGCACGCGGGCAGGCGGGCACGCGGGCGGGCACGCGGGCGGGCGGGCGGGCAGGCGGGCGGGCGGGCGGGCGGGCAGGCGGGCGGGCATGTGGGCGGGCGGGCGGGCGGGCAGGCGGGCAGGCGGGCGGTGAGACAGAGCGGGGCTCCCGAGGGGCTGGCCCTGAGGAGGGAGGGTTTCGGGCTGGAGTCCTGCCACCCACAGCGCGGGCGCAGCCGGGGCACGGAGCTTCTCCAAGCCTCTGCAGCCTCCCAAAAAAGTTGCTGTTAGGATTAGGACGTCGATGTGGGTCAGAACACCAAGACCTGACGCGGAGCACCCACCCCTCAGAAGGACCCCTCCGCGGCTATCAGACCGAGAGAGACTACACTGCCGTGAAGACCAGCCACGCCAGCACGGCCGACGGCGGGGCCAGGACAAGCGTTCACCAGCACGGCCGACGGCGGAGCCAGGACAAGCGTTCACCAGCATGGCCGACGGCGGAGCCAGGACAAGCGTTCACCAGCACGGCCGACGGCGGAGCCAGGACAAGCGTTCACCAGCACGGCCGACGGCCAGAGCCAGGACAAGCGTTTACCATCAGCAACCACAAGCCAGAGGCATCCATGGGTTCCTCCTCACTCCCTCTCATGCCATGAGCAGAATTATTCCTCTTGGAGCTGCGGCCCAGAGACCCAGGAAGGCGTGTGCGCACACGCACGCACACGCACGCACACAGAAGAGCCCGAGGCTGCCTGGGACGGGCAAGCCATGCTAGCGGCTCTTCACTCTCTCTGGTCACCCTAAGGCTACCAGGAATGACAGAAGGACACGGGCACACCTGGGCAGAGGCGCGGCTGAGCCCTGGGAGGCTCAAGGGTGCCACTTTTGGGCCCCGCCCGCTGGAACCTGGGCGAGACGGGCCACCTTTCCTTTTCTGTAAGAAGGAGAGGGCTGGGTGCCGTGGCTCCCGCCCATCAGGCTGGCTCCTCAGAGGGCTCCAAGCCTTCACTGGACAACCGGGAATGCAGCAGACGCACCCAGTGCTGGAGTACTAACTCGGAGCACAAATGCTCAGGGACAGTGCCCAGGCCGAGACCGGGCCGACGCGCCTCGGCCGCAAGGCGCCGTGGGGCAGCGGGAGGCAGCCCTCACTACACCACAGGAGGGACGCGGCCTCTGCCCTGCCCACTCCATCAGACCAGCTCCAGCGGCCAGGGCGGGCCGCGTCGCCCTGCGGCGTCTCTGCCCTCCACGGGCGCGCAGGGCTACACGGGCCCGGCCTGTCGACCCCCCAACGTCTCCTTCACCTCAGCCCCTCTCCGCAGCCCTCCGCCAGAAGCGCTCAGGTGAAGCAGCTGGTCGCGCAGGCGGTCCCACGGCAGCGGCCTGCTCGCGGGAGGAGAGACGGAGTGGGGCCCTGGCCTGGCCACATGTGGTCACACTCCACGGCACCGGAGGAGGTCCGGGTCGGGAGAGCACTGTGCCGGCGCGGGCCCTCAGCCTCCGGCCAGCTCACCTGCGCGAGCCGCCCGCGCCCACCAGGACACCAGAGCGCAGGGCTGGCCCGGGGAGGCAGCCACTGACTGGGGGCTGCGTGGTCGCCTGCTGGCGCTGCGCACCCAGAGCTCAGGGGCAGCAACCCGGCCCCGAGTTCAAGCCCAGGAGAAGAGCAAAAATGAACCACAACAACACAAAGACACATAACATCCATAGCCTAAAGGCCGTAAGTGCTTAGCCAGCGGTGAGTGGGCTGGCTCCCTCACTCCTGCCGCTGGCCTCGGAGGCGGGGTGCAGCGGCCCCAAGGCCAGCCCCCCCTCCCACCCTCTCCACAGGCCCCCGTCGGGCTCCCTCCGGGGCTGCTCAGGGGCAGCAGCTGGTGGGTCTGGACGCCGATCCCCTGGGGTGGCCAGCCTCTGGCTCTGGAGCCCTCCCTCAGGGGAAGAGGCCTCAGCCTCCGGCTCTGGAGCCCTCCCTCAGGGGAAGAGGCCTCAGCCTCCGGCTCTGGAGCCCTCCCTCAGGGGAAGAGGCCTCAGCCTCCGGCTCTGGAGCCCTCCCTCAGGGGAAGAGGCCTCAGCCTCCGGCTCTGGAGCCCTCCCTCAGGGGAAGAGGCCTCAGCCTCTGGCTCTGGAGCCCTCCCTCAGGGGAAGAGGCCTCAGCCTCTGGCTCTGGAGGCTGCTGCTCGGGTCCTCCCAGCACAGAGGCAGGACCCAGGCCAGAGCAGCCCCGGCTCTCCCCGGCCCTTGAGCGTCTGCCTGTTCCGGCGGGAGGCGGCCCTGCTCGGCCAGCACGGGCCTGACAGGAGGGGCACACTCAGGGACAGTGCTCCCCACGGACGCCGCTACACGGCATTGTACCCGAAAGGCTGGCAAACCATAGGCCGGATGGAGGGGGATAGCACTGCAACAGCTTCATCTGCAACCGCCTCGCACCAGACCCGGGCCCCAGTCGGGGGGAAGGAGTCGGGCCCGGGGCCAGGAGGCTTCCTGGGCCCCGGGAGGGGAAGGGTCAGCGAGGGCTGGAAGGGACGGTGGGAACAGACGGAGCCTGCCTCTGGGGGGCTGGTGCTGGTGCTGTGTGGGGCGGGGCCTGGCTGAGGCCCCGAAGGCCCCGCGGAGGCTGCCCAGGCCACGCCCGCTCGGCCGGGACCACAAGGTCATCTGGACCCCCTAGGGACACAATGGGGCCAGCCACGGGGGACAGCGCTGCTCACGGGAGGCAGGCCTGACGGCCAGCACTTCCAGAGGGCTGCTCCAGCTCCGTCCAGCCAGGCACAGGCTGGACGCTAGGCCTGCGTCCTGTGACAGCGATGCCCCTGGCGGTGTGGCCTTCCGTCTCCTTCCCTCCTCTTGCCTCCTGGCCCTGGCCACCCTGTAGGTGTGGCCTGGCCGGGCCCACAGTGGCTGGGGCGGGCAGGGAAGTGTCCCAGAAAGCTGGAGCCCGGGAGCCAGCGGGGCAGGGGCTGGGCTGCAGGCACCAGAAGGGCTGTTTCCACCATGGAAGGGAGAGTAGGAGGGGAGCCGGGGCAGCAGGGGCCTGCCTGGGGCAGGCCTAGCTCTGCGTGGCCTGGAGGAGAGAGCTCATGGGCCTCTGAGACCTGCAGAGGCCCAGCGGCCTCTGAGGGCCTCCCGGCTGGGCCGGGCCGCGGGTCCCGCCCTCCGCTGCGGGCTGGGGAGGCCAGCATGGCCGCACTCAC